TGTTAGGAAATGCATGGGGAGAGAGAGAGAGAGAGAGAGAGAGAGAGAGAGAGAGAGAGGAGGAGGTTTGGCTCCCATATTACTTCACTAACATAATTAAGCTTTAAATAGATGAAAGATGAAGTAAGAATATAAATCATTTCATGTTTCTATTGATTTAAAATATGAACTAAGAATATAGTTGCAATTATTCTATGAATGTTAAGGAAAGATAAGAATGATGCCAAGTTTAATATGAACTATGAATGTTGTTAGTCTTATAATTGATTATAATTACTCATCTTAAATTGAAGATAATCAATGTAGTTATCTTTGTTAAGTGGCTTGATCTGAACCGTAAGATCATGCGATCTTATGATCTACGTTATAATTTCGATAATCATGATCAATATCCTTTCTTCGATATAAGTACGTAAAATATTGCGACGTCGATCCGTGATTCAAAAGAAGTTGATTGCAATGCAATGAAGCAGTCTATCAACATCTAGATCATGTGAGACATCATGAGATCGATTTAGACCAACTTTAGACCTCCATTGACTGAAACAACAGCAACTCATCCATAAAATAGTTTGTGAAAGAATAGTAGGATGGGTCAGATTAGGTTTACTAACATCATCAAATACACAAACACAGCTAAAAGCTCTTTTGCTTTCATTCCAAATTCTTTCACTCCAATCTTTTTGGCCAGCAACACAAGTTATTTGCAGTGTTTCATACTGATGTAATTTTTTGTCATTGTATTTCTTTAGATTTAGAGTGTTGAGAACAAAATCAAGATGCTGTTTGGAGAGTTGAGAACAGTTTTAAAGGGATGCAGGGTTGTGGCACTTCCTATCACATCACTTGTGCCAGAAAGCTGAGAGAAGATAGCAAAGAGGGTTTTGTGGCCTTTAGGGCATTGGACCTGCACACCTTTTATCAGTTAGCCAACCTTGGCATGGTCTACTCCCTTGTTTTGGTATCCATGTCTTTGTCATCTCTTTCAGGTCTCTGAACTCAACCCTTTCCCTTTCACATGGTTGCAGGTCCTTTGTCTTTGCTCCCCTTCTTCCTTGGGGTGGCTTTTCTCAAAAGAGATGATGTTTGGCTACACTTTTCTTGCCACTGAAACTTGTTGACTGAGGAAAGCAGATGTGTGACTTGTGGCATACCTTCTTTCAAAAAAGGCAACCATTTTGATGTCTTCAACAGTCATAAAACACTTTCTTATAAAAGTTCACAGACCTGTGCATATAACTTAAGAGACAAAGATGATCAGTGCAATCAAAGCATCATGAGCATGTTTTGCAACTATTTTAACAAGCAATCTGAGCACCCAATTGAAGAACTCAGTGCCAAGTAGAAATTTCTGGGCAGAAAATGTTTACTGAACTTTTTTAACTTTTTTATGCAATTATTAATCCAAGCAGACTAATGTTTCCTTCTCTGAGTGTAGAGTTGACATCTTCATTTTCACCAGCTGTTGTTTGTGTAAATTTAGCTGTCCATTGATGAGTGCAAGGGAAAATGAAGTGAAAGAAAGACATTGACTGCTCATGGGAGCCCAATGGGAGACATCCTTGGAACTGATGGAGTTGTATATTGTGATTAACTATAACAATGCAGATATGGATAGATTCACTCTTAGTTTATTTATGCTTCTACCATAAACAATCATTCATGTTCCTCAAAATTCATCAACTCAAATTAATTATCATTTGCTCAGAATGTGCTACACAGTGTCTCACATGGGCTGTAGATATATCTTCTCCCTTCTGTCATCATATCCCTTGCACCAAAAGCATGGGACAAAGTCTGCCAGTATACCACAAGTTTGACTCTCTCTCTCTCTCTCTCTCTCTCTCTCTCACTTAAGCATGATAATTAGTGCTTGGAACCACCCAAGCTCAAACTCCAAACCCTATAAATTAAACATAGGCAAAGCAGCTATGAGAGAGAGAGAGAGAGAGAGAGAGAGAGGTGATAGGACAGGATGGCATTGTACTAATAACTGCATGAAATAAATATTCTGGACAGGCATCAGTGTCAAACAGCCCAACATTTAAGCCATTCAGACCAGCTTTTTTCTTACCAGCAGAAAAGAAAAGTGAAGAAACAAGAAGCAATACCACTGCATACTTCATCACATTCCCTCCCTCCCTCACACCCCTGCAGAGATCCCCTCAGAACTCTGCACCCTTTACATCACCACACAGCTGCTGGTGTTCTCATCACTGAAAAGATGGTCACCATAACCACCACCAGTTTCTGGGTGATGGTTGACATGAGGACTCCTGTAGTAGGGATGGGGATATGGATAGGGATAGGGATTGTAGTAGGCAGTGTAGGGAGGGATTTGAGGTGACCTGTTGTACATCACTTGTGGCTGCATGTATCTGCTCTCATTCATCAGCATGTTGTTGCTGAGCCCTCTCAGGTTCATCATCATGGAGGAGGATGGCTGGTTCTGGTACCCCGGTCCCAGTGAGTTCATCATCAGGTTTGCTTGGTTGTTCACCCCAAATCCACCATTACCAGCTGCAGGGAAACCTGTGGAGAAGTTTGCTCCTGGTTGTTGCTGAGCTTGATGTGCTCCCAACCCACCGCTTCCACCAAGTCCTTGCAGACCTGCACTTGGATTGTTACCACCATTGCTCATCTTGTTGTTAGGTGCAGCAGCGAAGCCTTTAGGCTGTAACCCAGCAGGGCCCTTCAATCCAAAAGCTTGGTTTGGGTTTCCTCCACCCTTCCTCGCTCCTCCATTGTTGCCATTCCCACCTGGATTGCCATTTTTCTTGGTGGCTGCTGCTGCTGCTGCTGCAGCGTTGTTTGCTTGCTTTAGCAGATTAAGCTGCTTGATCTTGTCACCAATGAATCCAAGCTCATCATCTTCTTCGTCATCAAGATCATCATCGAATTCTTCGTCGTCGTCGTCGGAGCTCGGAGGCTCGATGCTGCTGTGCTGGTTCTTGAAGGCTTTAAGGCCTTGGATGAGGGATTGTTGGCCTTTGTTGTTGCTCTGACCGCCATGGCCTTTGTTCTTGTTGCCCCCATCCTTTCCTTGATGTTGCTGGTTGCACTTGGTACTCTGGTTGCCGGGCTTCTGAGGCCACAGCTCTGCATGCTTGCCTGATCTGGCCAGCTTCTTGATTAGAGAACCGGAGTCCACGTTGCCTGAGACTGTGACCTTCTGGTGCTCTGCATCTATGCTCACAGTGTACACTCCTGATGCAAGAGGCAAACGGAGTGAGAACGCTTCAGCTCTTTCATGCAATTCTTTTTTGGTGGTTTAATTAAGATGACACATATCGAACAGATCCGGAGACAACAAAGCAAAGATTATACTCTTCACAAGTCCCTACAAATGGGATGATCAGCATCAAGCAGCATAACCCCAGGAAACTGTGGAACATGAATGACAGATCTCGAAGGGTACCACTAAATATATATTTCTCAAACAAGTGACAGCAAAAGAGCATCTAAGAAAATTTTGTCCTAGTAAAGGGGAAAAGGTAAGCATCAGTCCAAAGTAAGATCCAGCAGAAGAAATTGGATAAGAGTTTGATCAACATATACAGGGGGCCATCTCAAGCCTTCTTCTTTCTTCTTGTCCATTTCAAGAGGAAATAAGCTCCACCACCACCACTACACATGACTGCTTCTTCCCCAAGAGAAGAAAAGAAACATCAAACCAGAAAAAGAAAAAAATTACCTTCGATTCTCTGAAGAAGTTTCTTCACCTCCTGCTTACATCCATCACAATGTATGTGTACCTTGAGGATCACTGTCTGCAACAACCAAGCCACAAAACCCCTCAGCTGCCTTCACATCACACAAGAGAGAAAGAGAGAGAGAGAGAGAGAGAGCACCTGGATTTTAAGGAGCTTAAACTCTTCACTTTTGTTCATCTCCCCTGCTGCTTCAGCTGATCAGTCCAGGAAGCTTGAAACACAAGTCACTGAGCACTGAGAAAGAGAAGTTGAAGCCAACTGCTTCCACTTCCAAAAAGTGGGAGCTGAGATGAGGGAAGGGGGAGAGACTGGGGGTTTGGTGAGGCTTCTCCTCCAATATATTCTCTTCACTTCTCCACCATCTTCGGCATTCCCTCATTAAACACCCACATGGCTTCGGGCTGCGCCTCATTATATATGTCATTGAGGAAGCTGTCTGCCATGGCTTCCTGGCTGGGAAAAGCCATCCAACGGCCAGAACAAAAAGTGTGTGTTGGAGGAAAGATGATGTGATTTCACCTTTACACTAATAAAATTAAAATAAAATCGTATATATATATATATATATATATATATATATATATATATGTA